TAGGATTCCCTAAACATCGTGGTATTTGTTGGGTACCACATAAAATCACCGCCTGAATTGAATTTTTCCCATATCCAGAGTGAGGGCAGGAAATTTGTAACAGTAACAGAAATCTGGCAAGAATTCGCAAGGCGTTTTACTTGGGCAAGAGAAAAGGGAGATGAGGGATTCGCACCGTACGACACGAATCCAAATGACCGAGGTTCATGGTCATTGTGTTTCACTGTTTAAATCGTTTACGTGAAGGTTGCTGCGTACTAAATGTCCGTCAGTGATTTCAGGGTAGTTTGTTCGAAACGCCACAGTCTCTTCTCTCATCTCCGCAGTATGATATGTTCTCATCGCCATTCCGATCATCCCAACAACGTTGTTCTCTCTGTCAGAAAGATATCCAAGGGCAACACCGTCAATTTCCTTGCTCACATAAGTTCGTTATCTTCTGCATGACGAATCGGTTTTCAATTTTTCAATAAAGAATATTTCAATGTATCCTTAAGCGGTGTGCTTTTTAATTGTTGTCGCTACCATTATAAAAAAAGGTATCGACAGATGCTTTAGTTCGGTAATGTGGAGTTGACAGTAGCTAGTAATTGTCAACAAATATCGATTGCAGAATCTGTGGCCACTGTTGCTCCTTGGCGGATAGTCGCAAGTGTCTGATCTGCTATGCAAGTGCAGGCACAAGTCCATTTCCACCTTACATGTTCTTGTCACCACCACACACCGACCATTCTAACGGTTAGTTTTCGTTTGTTATAAAGCTTCTCAGTCGGTTGGGTACGGATTAATCGGGAATCTTTGTGTCTCGCCGCTCCGTTTTCAAACCATTACAAAGATTTGCCATGCCCGTTCAGAAAATGTTCTCCAAGTGCTTACGATCTAACCGTTCTGCAAACCTCGCGCAAGAAATTACCGAGGATATGCTCAACCCGCATTCAGCGTTTGAGCTGCAGTTGGATTGCAGTTACTGGTGAATGAATGCCGCTGTGTTTCCTTTAGCAGCAGCTTAGAAGTGTGGCATCACCTTTGAAAAATGATTTCCGAAGAATGAACTCGGAATAATTTGTGAAGTTCAACTTAGTTTATGTGTTTAGAGCTCCTCGACTCTTCATTGTCACTGCATAATCAGTCCATAGCGTCATATCAAAATGGACTGACCGACAGTTTACATGTGAGTTGTCTTTTCATTTTTTTTCCAATGTCAGTGTGTTCCAATGATTTTGTTATTTTAGAGTGTAAACCTTGGTCTGAGCGATCTGTCCGGTCATTTGGAATCTTTCAACTTGTGGGACAACCGCACTAAAATTCCGACAACTCCTCGTAGTTCGGCATCGCAGGGTATTGTTCTTCCAGAACCACCGGCCCGACAAGAAGAAGACCATCCGCCGGTATTTTCACCGAATTCCCAGCTGGTCACAACTCCTCCGGTGACTTCTCCTCTTTCGATGATTCCTTCGTCAAATGTGAACACGCAACGCTCGATGCTGCCATCGTGCGCAACATGTGGCGAGAATGCAAGGCTAGTCGTCTTTCAAATTCCTGTTCATAAAAGTTACATGTTTGGAGTATATTCTTGAGAGAAATTGCGAATGATTCAAAAACCATATCTTACAATTATAGTTGAAATAGACAAAAAAAGTAGGCAACCAAAAATCAAAAGACGTTCTGTACCGTACGTTTACTGAACGGTAAGAAAGGGAAACTCACCATATGGCAAACATTCTGCCGGGATAAAGGAAGTGGGAAACCTACACGTCATGAAGCGTTAAAGAATTTTCGTGATGAAGCCACAAATTGCACAGGGAGCAGCTACCCATTCTTCTTTCCCTTTCGCTTATTTCCTAAGTAAAGAAAAACGATAAAATGTCAAAGATAAAAGATTTGAGAATGTGTTTAGATCGGATAAACATGATAAAAAGAAATACTAAGTTTGAAAGCTATTAACCCACCGCTACTAATTTATTGATCGCAAATAAAAAGCTAGGCGTCGATCTTTGTGCGTTGTACAATCATATTTATCCTCAACAAAAATTCCACCATTTGCCTTGTAAAAGATTAAGCTTGTGGCTGATATGAAGCATACAAATAACGGGTAGTATTAGTATCGGCGGGATGACGCACCAGTTTTTTGGCCTGTTTAGGTTGAAGTTCCTTTTGTCGTAAATTTTGATGCATCCATTATGAAGCCGGTTTTGACTGGAGAACGTGAGCTTCGTATATCAGTTTGAAAGTGTTATTTATCCCTGAGCAACCCTGACATTTCCACATCAAAAGCAACTTTCGAAGATTCGCAAAAGAGCTAAGGGCAATATGATAAATAAATACATTACTATTAGTAGTTTGTTCGCGTGAATTTATAGTAAAATTCCCGTTGACAATTAACAAGTATCAGGGCAGAGAACGGAACATAAAGACGATAAATAATAGCGAAGCACGTTGCGCGTCTGAGGTTGGTTCCTCTTTTAAAAGCAGTCTTTCCCATAGGATCGCAACCGGATTTGGTTCCACGCTGTACCATTGCGTGCTTCACAGACTCAATCTTCGTAGAGGTTGGGACGCGAACATTTTGCTCTTATTTCCACCGCCAATTGTTTATTAGTTTATAAAGAATCGTGTAAGCGCAGAACATCGGTTTTTTCATTGAACATATCATGAAAAAAGAGAACATACCTTTCTCATAACAAATGTCAAAAGAGTCTGTTTTTGCTCTATTTATTCCTCATAAACTGCCCAATAGAAGAGAAAAGAAGTTTATACCCAAGCAAGCACTTGTCAAGAATACTGAACACGCGTATAAAAATGGTAAAAAATCATTATCTTCTCACGATTGCTGCTTTGGAAATCGTTCGTTATTTTCATGCCCACTGAAAGAAACGATCATGCGGAAATAATCTGATTAATAGGCTGCAGCTTTTAGCCTAGCTCCACCACATTTCTTGGTGGGCGCATTAGGGAAAGTAGCCTTAGGTAAGCTGTTTGTGAACGGCAAAATAAAGTTGTTAGGTGAGACGGGCTGTTACTGTGGCCTTGAAGCAAGTAAGAAAGAACGCCTGCAAAGGAAGTGAAAGATCTTTGCGAGTCAAGAAAACTCGAACCCAATGAATAGTGATGTCTTAGTCAGATTTTGCTCCATAGCAACTAAAGACCTGTTGAGGGTGGAAGCTTTTCATGTTTAGAATGGACGATGACTTCTTCTTTTTGATGCGCAATCTCCTTTAATAAAAAAATACTGTCAGGTTGTTATGCCGCTGCTCTGGTAGTTTGCTGATATTTAAATAATAATTATTGAAATGGTGAGTGCTTGTTCACATAAGAACAACATTTAAGATGTAGAAGAACCCATGACGTATCTTAAACATGTTTTAGAAATGTATAAGCGGTCTTGGTTGTGGACAACGTGATTTAATCCTTTTTGGTTCGTTTAGTCAAAAAATTTTTTTCGTCATCCTTTAATAAGTTTCACAAATCCAAGGTCGTAGATGGGTCTTTGATACATCACTCTTTAATAATTTTCTGCAGCAACAATCTGCCAAATGAATATCGTGAGTTTATGGGGAAGAACGGTACAAAGATTTTTTTGCACACAATTCTGTCAGGTTGTGAGCACTGGAAAATGAAATTGTTTCTCTGCAAACCTCGAGTTTAGAACTGTTTTCGGATTTAGCAGTACTTTATTTTATAGTCTAAAACCTCGGCTTTCTATTTTCACCGAGAAAAGTCATCAATATTTTAATCTGCCGCTTAGATATATCTACCATGAAGCACCGTTAACGCAGGCCTTCTACTATTACTTTGAATTTGCGCAACTTATCTCAGATTTACCTTTTATCGTGAAATAAAATGTTGAAATATGAAAAGTGTTTTATTTGGCTCACCGTTTTCTCGATTGCTATAAAATATATAAATAAATAAATAAATAATAATAAATATAGCGAGGCTAATTGGTGGAAATCCACAAAAATCAACCAAAATCTACCGAACTTAACTGCTCTAATTACCAAACAGTAAGGCTAAGATTATAAGCATTAAAGTGATTCAACCGATGAAGGCGAAGCTTACATTATAAAGCTGCCCAAGCGTTATCTGTTGTGAATGTACGTCATGACTTTTCTGCATTTTTTGTAAAATAAACGAAAACTTCAGAATGAAACTTTTATTGTGAAATTATATTACAGTGCGAATATTACTTCAACTTTTCAAAATTGACGGTTTAAGAAGTATATAAGTATGCCTAAATACTTTATCTATATTGCTGAATGAGCATCGAGTACCAGGATTATTGGCTATTTTGTCCTACTTTGGTGGACTAGCGTGCAGTCAACCCAGTGACCCTCTTTTCATAGAATGGATCAAATTTTACAGTCTCCAGATCATAGTAGTGAACCTTTTTCAGTAAAAGCAGAGGAAGGCTTGGTTTGATATAACCTTGTCGATTCTGATTTAGACCATTATATCGCATTACAAGAGTGTTACGGCTAGCCCCAACTTAGTTGTTATCTCGTAACGTAGAACAATTCATTCCTCATTCTCTTTAAATTTTGCCTGCACTCCTTGGTTCGAAAAAGGGAAGCTTCAATAGAAACTGCTTGAGCGTTCATTCTTTGCTAGGAATCGTTCTACGACGTGCTGCCTATGTGTGAGGTAAAAACGTCCCTCTCGTTAATGGTGACAGGACCCAACTGGCACCTGCATTTCTATCTCTTTCAAAGGATATTAGATTGCAGCAATGGGGGAAGACAACTACGGGAGTTGACGGCAAGTGAGCGGAGATGAGAAATAACATCACACTTCATCTATAGAAACCTAAATACTGGCAACTGATAAGGGGTCTGTTTCGTAAAGATCTAAGACACGAAACCTCATAAACAAATGCATTTATATTCCTATTGGGACTGATGCCGTAACCGCAAAAGAAAAAACTTTGTATTCTTCCGAATCGATTTGAAACAAACTTCTTCTTGATTAATATAAAGCTATGGTTCAGTGTGGATGATAAGAAGATGCTGAAGAATGAAAACATTCTAATACAGGATGGTTTCAGAGCAGAAGCATTCTGTGCGAATTGCCGTGAACTGCTTTGCGGCTTGTGTGTCGTCGCTCATCAGAGGGTTCGCGTCACACGCGATCATGTCGTCATTTCTCTACAACAGCTCCTTAATCATATGGTTTATTTTGAATTTGGCAATAGCACTCCATCTCTGTGGTACTTAGTGGTAACTACACCGATTTAAGACAGCAAATGCGTTCGGCACAGGAGAGGATGGTGCCCTTGGTGGATCATCGGATTCTTCGCCGAGGCCGTCTTCGGTTTGTTCCACGCACGACGCTAAGGTGTTTTGCTCGTGTGAGACCTGTGGGAGGCTGTCACTGTGTGCTCACTGTATATCGAGACATTCATCACATCATATTGTTCCCTTAGGTATGTGTATGCCTACTGATGTAACCCATACAGTTTTTAACAGGTTGTTCATTTCCATTACATTTTTCTTCAGGCGATGTTAGAGCTTGCGTGGTTTCACTGCTAGCGGAATCGCGTCGTAATGAACGCAGCATTGAGGAAGCAGTCGAAAGTGTACGTACGATGTCTGAAAGAGTCGACGCTAGTGTGCAGGTATGTCTTCTTTATTTCGTCAACCTTTTGGGGGCCATAAAATGTCAAGTGTTTCCAGGCAGCTGCATCAGAACTTCGGTCACTTATCCATCTTCACATGAGTGCACTGGAGGAAAGGAAGAGAGAGTTGTTACAGAGAGTAGATACGATCAGACAATCTAAAACAAAGAATTTGAAGGCTCAAGCAGAAAATTTGAATGCGGCAAAAGCGAAATTTGCACAGGTATCACACATCTTTTGATTTTGATAAACCTATTTCTAGTACTCGTAATATGGTTTGTCGAGCTATCGCAGTCGTTTTGTTGAATCGAGCTTTTTCCTTCATGCTATTTTTTATTTAGTGCCTGATTTGACTGTTAGAATTGAAATTATTTGTGTAATGATCATTTTCTTCAGACTATCAAATCGGTAGAGGCAGTCACTGCTGAAGATGATAACTCACAGCTCGCGAATGCTTTCCAAGAACTAATACAGGTCCTTAGTTTTACCTCTTCTATTTCCTTTGTAATCCACATCTCTGATGCTCCTTCCTTCTCAAGCAGTAATGGTGAAACGTTCGTATTGCAGCTATACGCACAACCAATCCATTTGATTCCACACGAAAATGATGCCGTTAAGTTTAGCGTTCCCGACAACCAGCTTCTCTCACAGTAAGAATTTAGTTACAGTAAACGTTTGCGAAGTCTAAGCTTGACATCCTTTTCCAGGATTCGAGCTCTAGGTGAACTTGAAAGTGGGCCTTGTGCTCGTCAATGTCATTTGGTTGGCGAAGGTTATAAGAGGTTACATTTACTGTCGATGATACTTGCTTGGTTCCCCAAAACTTTGATGATTGTTGGCTGTTTAGACCTATTCGTGAGCGCCAATGCATTGTTTACGTACAACTTCGCGATGCGTGCGGTGAAGTGGTGCCGACCGACCGAGCTGATGGAGGGGTTCGAGACATTACCGCAACGGTAATAGCACCTGATGGTCGCAATCTTGAAATTCACATTGGGTTTGTATGCTCTTTCATTCGAAATTTATGCTTTCGCTAATTCATGACTTCTTTTGTAGACGGAGCGAAAGCGACCCAGGTGTGATTGGCATTGCTTATTATCCGATTCTTGATGGACAGCACCAGCTAGATATACGAATCCGTGGAGTGTCCATAAGGTGAATTTTAGTTCATGCTGTAGTCTTCATTCGTGATAACAAGGTTCATTTTTATTCTTTGGTTTCCTTATTTTTCTGTTGTTCTAATCTAGAAAAGACGTGTTCTCACTATAGTTCCATAAACTCATAAGGAAAGGTCTAAGGGTCCGGGTTATCATATCCCGTGAGAAAAATATCGTTGCACGTGTTTCGAACGTTAATCTATTCGTTTTAGTTTTATTTAAACAGTCACACTGAGATATTTTTGGTGTGAACTTCTGTTATCTGATCAGAACGGCAACTAGGCACGACCGTTAGAGGTATATTGGTATTATTGAATTGAGTATACTATTGGGATATGCCCGGTATTATTGTATTGGTGATTTCGTGATTTCTTGCGTAACATCACAAACTTCATGCTTGTGTGAAACAGAGTCCCCAGGTTATGCGCCCTATTACCCGAAAACAAGAGTTGTTTAGAACACCACAAACACTCGGAAAGAGAACATACATTGAAAGCATGTTGACGAAATCACGTCACAATTTAGCCCTAATGGTGGCGGAATAAAAATTTTCTAACGGGTTTAGCGAGGTGCGAGGTTAGGTTTGCAGAGGAGCAGTTTTCGCTTGGTGGGCGTGCGACAACCCTTCAATTCAAAAAAGGGAAAGCAACACCAGAGAAGTATTCCTGCGGGAATAAGGTCTCAAACTATCTGCCGCATGCTTCTAACTTATTAGAAACATGGAAGTAATTTTTGTTTGCTTTTCGACATGTTCTGTTCGTGGGGCAATCGTAAAAAATGCGGCTGCGTGCATATCGATTAAGCACGAATTCGTAATACTAGTCTTGAGGTTGGGTTGATCTTGTAGCTTTGAGTGCATAGTCAGTGGAATCATATCCGAAAGGGGCTAAATTTAATGGCCATATCAGGAAGATGTAAAAATTCTGAGACACTGGTTAACAAATGTCCGTGGTGATCCCGTGTATAGACGGAAATCCGTTCCGATCATGTCATTATACCGCTTCATTTTTTACGATCTTATTTTCGTTAAATGGGAGAGAGGTGGGGTCGCCAGTCGAGAATCAATCCTGCCTTGAGTTTGCAGTCACTCACCAGATTTCGATACCAGATCTGAGCCCAATATCTCAAAACACTAACCTGGCTTTCAACAATTTTTAAATGCCTTTGCTGTTATGTTTACCGTATGTTACCGAACGCATAACGTTCCTTCAAAGCGATTTGATGTTGTATTTTCGTATTTTTATTTCAGGAGACTTCTGTTTTCCCACAATTAAGTTTTGCTCATCGTGATGCTTTTTTAGTGGTTGTCCAGCTGTTGTAGATGTACGCCATGGGCGTAATTATGCTGAAATTGCTGCTCAAGGAGAGTTGTTCTCATTCGGAAAAGAAGGTGCGTTCGGGAAGTTGCGGACAGGGAGAGAGGAAAAGGAAGCGAAAAGAAAAAAATTCCAAAATTATGATCTATAATAGATAGTTTGGGCACAAACCTTTCTTTTCACCTCTCTTTTAGAAAGTTCCTGAGGGAGTTGTTAAAGAGAATGCGAAGATTCTGTAGCCGTGAAAAAGGCAGTGCATATTCGTTATAAATGAAATCATTGGAAGCATTTTCCAATTTTTTCTTGAATGTAACCTTTTCAGGATCAGCTGATGGAGAACTGTGTCGCCCATGGGGAATTTGCGTTGACTTACGTGGACGAGTCCTTGTAGCAGACCGAAGCAATAATCGTATCCAAGTTAGTAGCAAGCGTTTTTACGGTGTAATGGTGCTCAAAATTTTGCTTCAGATTTTCGATCGAGATGGTGGTTTTCTTGCAAAATTCGGCTGCGGTGGAACTCGTTCGGGACAATTCGATCGTCCAGCTGGTGTTACAGTCAATACTAGGGTCTGTGTGTTTTCGGTAGCTCTTGCTCTATAAAAGAGATCTTCCCTATTTCAGAACAATATTGTGGTAGCCGATAAGGACAACCACAGAATCCAAGTGTTTGACGAGAACGGTAACTTTTTGCTGAAGTTTGGAGAGAGGGGACGGCCGATTGGGATGTTTAACTACCCGTGGGGAGTTGCAACAAATAGTCAGAACCATATTGCTGTTTCGGATACGCGAAATCACAGAGTTCAGGTGAAATTTGTTTTCAATTGTGAGCTGTTTTTGAGTATTACATTTACTGCATCGGACATAACATTGCACTTATCAAATAATCCACGAATCGAGAAATGCACTTTTTCTACAACTAAGACTAGATATTTGGCATTAGGACAACGGCACGAGAATTCGGTACGAGTATTGTATATCGTAGAACTCGACCATCGTACTTTTGGTCCTATGATCGGTCAAGCTTGAGCTGAAGACTATGGAGGTCATTCACTGTGCAGAATATTGGCACATTTTGCCCATGTCTTGGCTCTTTATGTCTTGCACTTTACGCGAAATAGTGAGCCCAACCTCGCGGAAAGCAGCAGTTCCGAGCATGTTGCGAAACTTATGTGTAGGATCATTCGATTGCTATATTCGGGTGTATAAGTGATACTGGGTGCTGTTTAATTGTCATCCTGAAAAAATAAAATTTCCTCAAAGTTAGACAAAGAATTTATTTCGTATTCAGGAAAACATGCGCTTTCTAACTGAGCGTTTCAGATGTCATGTGGTTTTACATATCGTTACTCAATGATTTCTTGATGCATACTATTTGATCAAAAACTAGCTATCAACGCCTACGTGACAACCTTTTTTCGCTTTGTATTTTTTTTCAGTTCCTGGTTTCAGTTCTTTTTTGTTCCTATTTGTCATCATTTCTCTATGTTCGTTATTCACTTCTTTAATGTTGGTGAAATCGTGTTGAGAAGTGAGTGTAAAAAACGAAACAACTTTCGTGTGAAATAGATTCTCGCTGAGGTGAAGGGATTGATTTCCAACACGAGTTTGGTGATCATTACATTAGTATTGTGGCTGAAGCTTGATTAGAAGTTGCTTATCCCTGAAGGGAGGGAAGGTTACTTGTCCTGGTTTCTCGGTCCGCCATCCATCACCTTCTCTATAAAAGTGTCGATATTAGGTGGTCCTCTTTATCACGAATAGCCCTGATGTCCAAAGATAGTTCTTAAACTGTTACACTTTCAGATTTTTATGAATTTTCGCAGGTGTTAAAGTTGTGTAGCTCGATTTCATATCAGTCGTTATGGAGTGATTTTCATGCAAAGTACAAATAAGATCAATTCGAAGCTATAGCTTCATATGAGAGTGGTTCTAATGTCTTGTATATTCAATTCTTTTATATTGTTCAATGTTACCGAAATATTTCTGCCTGCATCCCTGAAATTTTGTTCTACATATGATATTTCTTTATTTTCAGGTATTTAATGAAAATGGCCAGTTTATACGGAAATGTGGGTTTGACACGGCATTCTTTTACAAACATCTGGATTCACCTCGTGGTGTCTGTTACCTATCTGATGGTCAACTCCTCATTACGTGAGCATTTATGGTTCTGCTTAGATAATTGATTTTTATAGATCTAATACTTCCTTTATGGGTTTTCAGTGATTTTAACAATCATCGTTTGGCCGTACTATCCTCTCGTGACACACCAGAAATGAAAGTATATGGTACGGAGGGAAGTGTCGAGGGGATGTTCTGCCGCCCACAAGGAGTGAAGGTTGATCCGGAGGGTCATATTCTTATTTGTGATTCTCGGAACAATCGCGTTCAGGTAAGCTCTTGCTTGCATGCTTGTGTATCTGCTGTCTTCCTTGAGCTAGTCTACCTGCAGGTGTTTTCTGGAGACGACATGCGGTGCATTGCCGTCTTTGGACAATCATCCTCTTCTGGTGGTTTCGAGATGCCTGCTGAGCTACCTGCTCCGTTCCGCTCTGTCGGGCCCACTCCCTTCCATGCTTCAACCACTCCTGCGAGTGGCGCTGCTCTTGACACCCCTACAGGTGGGCCTCGTCCATTGCTGGATCGCCCAACTGATGTGGCGATTGCCCCAGACGGTCGAATCTATGTGGTTGATTTCGGCAACAATTGCATCCGCGTTTTCTAAGCAGATTCAAGTGATTAATCGCTTCGCCTTCAAGCAACAGCTATTATGTTGCTGTTGTTGTTCATCTCAAGTGGAAATCTGGCTTCAAGCCAACATTTGTTTTGTGCTGTATCGCTAGGTGAACATGTGCTATTTGTGCTTTGAGCCGCTGCGAGTCTCGCGTTCCCTTCAGGCCTGCCTGCTCTTGTCATTTCCACATGTGATTCGATACGCTTCTTTTATTTCTCGTTGTTTGATTTGTTCCAAGATTCACACAGAGTTTATTATTCTTCTCTCCACCGTAGTAACCACAGTCTCGTCCCCTCCCTGCCCCATCCACATATATTGCTCATATCACCTGGGCTTATCGCTCTTATACACGATTCGCATGGTCTACCCAAGAGGTTCTGCTGGAGCTGTCTTTTCAAAACCTTTAATCTCTCGCTCTCTCTCACACGCTCTCTGTCCATGTTAATGTAACTGCTTCTACCTCCACCCTCGCATTCTAGCCGCTGACTAGCTGTTTCTTGTTACGGCGATCTACCTGCATACAACCGTCTTTACCTCAAACCATGCGAAACCTCGTCTAATCCAGCCTCATCTCAGTTTTCGCATTCGAGACCTCCTTCGAGCATGTTTTAGTCTATTAGCTAAAAACGCCTCATTTCCTTCAGCTCAGCGTACCCTACCGTTCTGTGAAAAGAAGGATTCCGGAACCGATGGGGAGATTCAGTCGTTCGCTTATATTCCTTAGCTTTTGCCATGTCACTGTTTTAGTACCATCTTCGTGTTCCGCGCCGCGGTTTTGTACAGTAGATTGCGAGGCCTCGCCCATTGTCTTCAAGTCTAACTAGGGCCCCAATGCCCTTAACTGTGTGTCTCTATGTGTGTGCACCTGCATTGTCTCGAATGCTCTCGAGGTAGACGATCGCCGATTTGATTTGTTTTAGTTACTTCCTTTCATGGATATCCAATTTCGCTTCTGACCGCAAATTTCGTGATAGCGGTGTACATTGTTTTAACCGTTTTTATTACTGCAGGGTATCGTTATGAGAGCCCAGTGAAAAGGAATACCAGTGAATATCCCGGTTCGAATTGAATGTGTTTGAGAAAAGTTGAGCTATTTATTAGAGAGTATGTTTGTAAGCTAATCCTGGTGTTTGATGTTACGTTTTATCGCTTGTATTAAAGTTCGTTTTGTTTTTGTCTTTTGAACACGCAAAACATATAGACATTTGAACTGTGAACGCACAGAAAGTAATCGCAGCGAAGTGGGTTTGCAGAAAATATTAGGTAGCAGCAAAAGGGTTAGTTCGAAAACGTTATTTTCAGAAGGTCCAGCTTCTGTCCTCATTGGAAAGGGCAGGTATCACCCAGTATACTCTGGACAAGCAGCTCTGGAGCTTAAGTGACTCCAATTTCTCTAACCATGATCAGGATTAGTGAAGTGTTTTTGAATACGGTTCTTTTGAGGGTTTTAGATGAAGCAGTTTATTGTACTGCCCAACAAATTTACGATCATCTCTACGGGGCTTCGGATTAGGGATATAATCAGGAACATATCAGTTTCGCTTGAGTAGTGTAGTAAAGTGACTGGAAACTGTCAAATTACTGGCTTAAGCCCTACGGCCAATCCTAAAGCATATCTGTTCATCGCTTCATTCATCGACTCTTGAAAAGTGCCAAGCCGGTGTGTGAGTAGAGCGATTTGAGTATCACAATCTCGATGGAGCAGCCAAAGGACGTTATGGCTCACAATAGCAACAAGAATCGTATTTGGGATGCTAGGAATTCAGAAAAAAAAGCTTCCTTAACTCGTGTGTAAAGTTCATGTAGGTGTCACCAGGCTCGCGGCCACATTTATTCCTTTCAAGGTGGAGGGGTTCTACAGACTCAAAGATTTCCACATCAAGATGATTCATTGAAAAGTGGCCTTTTTTTTCGAGGTTTCTAGCTTTCTAGCCGAAACCTCATTTTAGTTCGCCTGTATGAAGTTCTTCATCTTATTGTAAAATAGCAAATTAAAGATTCCCCTGACTTAAAGGTATAGTTCATGATAATTTTGGGGTCACCGGTTTTTCACGGATAATGATAGATACGACCTACAATAGTACAAAAGTAAAGGAGAAGGAGAAAAACGACCTATAAAAGGAAATAAAAGAGAGATAAAGAACACAAAAAACAGTGATGGGCGAGTTCGAGTGGGAAAAAGAGGCGTGGATGAAATGTTTGTGCGAGCTCCAATAGGTCTGCAATTGCGTACAACACATCAAAACTATACATATAATAAACTATACAAAAAACAAAACTACAACATCGTTTCGACGATGACAGAGAATAACTGATTAGAACAGACTAGAATAGAATAACAGCCGAATAGTATGAATATGGTCGAATATTATTATTAATAGCAGCTGATCGATCAGCTGATTGGTTTTTTCACTAACGGCGCTCCAATGAGAAAGTGGTGAACGACAATTAGATTTCGTAGTCAGCCTAGCGAGGGGCGGAGGCTTCCCGAGCCCCACTCTCTGAACCCTTATTGTGCCCTAACCAGAACGTTTTTCGACCTCATTTCGGCACATATGGTTCGAATTCATACCATGTGAAAATCTCCGAGACCATTTTCATCGTGAACCGTGCCTTTGAAATTGAAATACTCAGATCGTGTTTGCTCCTAATTGGGAACTTTAAAAGGAGCAGTCGGAATTGCTGATATCTCAAATGAAAATTTTTATGGATATATGGCCTAGTACGTACCCCACGATGAGGACGTACTTGGCTTAAAATAAAAAAATATTATCGACGATCATTTATGTAGCAACGTACCAGCTCTTTACCAGTGTAAAATGAGTGGGTATCGATTTGGATGTGGGACTTTTTCAGTCCATCACACAAATAGCATAGAAATAAAATAAGCTTTCCTTCAATTTTCTCTTCAAGCGTATTGATTTCAAGTTATCTTTCCAAGAGAAAAAAAACGGGATGTATTGGTCCAGAAAAGTGGATCGGTGTCGAAGGAAGCAAGAAAATCTGCGGGATTTGGGAGCTCTCAGAATTTTCAGGACTTATCGAATTTGTAGGTTTTACAAGGATATAGCGATGAAAGGGGTGTTCGATCGAAATTTCAGTCGTGGGCGATAGTGTGGGGAAGGTTTCTGAAGTGCTCCTGCTGCCGAAATTAGAATCCACTACTGCCCCTTTCAAGAACCCTAAACCTCACCTCTATGAATTTTCAACATATGTATTCCCTTATAATTGGCGCAGCCTCAAAAAGCCGCAAGCCACAGAAGCTGCTTCTGATTTCTCCATGTCGGATGAGCCAGGTCTTTAGCCTTGTACACCCCGGTTCAAGTCGTTTGTCGAACCTTACAACACCCTACGTGGCATACCTGGTAAAAAGGTTGTATATCCCGATGACAATATATAATGTGTTTCTCCAGATAGACTGTGGANAACGAATATCTTCTTTTCCAAACGTGGTGGTCCAGTAGTAGTAGATTATTTATACCGTTCAGCGAGTAATAGCAACAAATATAATACAATAACTGGCAGCACAGAAATAATTCAGGACCTTGAGGCGTGGGCGAGGGATCGAGAAGAATGAATAATGAATCTATTGATTGATATGTCGCCTATTTATACCTGCAGGCCAAAGACCAAAAATCAAACTCCCATTCCCGCCAGATCGCCTACATTCGGAGATCAAATATTTTTTGATCGCGATCGTCGCGATACCTGGGATCGGAGATCCGTACCAGAAGGAAATATCAGAAACCATTTTTATCGCGGACGGAGCCTTATATTTTTTCTTTTTTCAGAGGCCTAATAAAGAGAGAAGAGAAGTTCTACGTCAAACAAGTATAGAAACTCGTAAGGTTTCCCACTTCGAATAGAACGCTATGAATGGCGAATTGGGTTTGGGAAAGAACGGAATGGTGGCTATTGGGGGAAGATTTTGCAGGTGCGCTTCTATGCTCAATGCCCTCATCGCTGGTATCGACTGTAGACCACTATGAGGAGCAGTATCGGTTTCCCAAGCGTCATTTGACTGAAACTCACGAAAATGGAACTGTTGAACATGGAGCAGCTGTGGGATTCGTCCACACGCGTGCTTTTTTACCCGGAACCGGGTAATGGAACTTCTCCCCGACTGCGGCGTTCTCCCTTGCGGCAAATGTCACTGCAACTACCGTACTCCCTCGCCTCCCCGCCAATCGATAGGATTGCTAGGACTAGGATTTTTCGTTAATTGCCCTTCTTTTTTATTAGTTTTGATCGTTTTTTATCTTTCTTTTTCTTGTTTTTTATGTTTATCAGACTTGTTTAATTAAAATGACTCCTCCTGTATTAGCGACGATCAATACCGCATAGGAATTGAACGGAGCGGTCAGCCAATTCAAATAATTAAAGAACTCCCTACCTTACAAATTGCGCGCTCTAATCTTACATCGCAATCCTGCGATACGCGGCGGGTGCAACGTGCGCGACGCCGTCTTCGGGGAGAAGATTCCGGACCCCCCGGACCCTGCTGTGCTTTAAATGCGGACAGAGGAGGACGATTTTTTGCACTTGCGGCTGTTTCCTTGGCTTTTCTACTGAAGGTGGGCAACTTGGCGATCACATTCTTATCTGTGTACCTCAAAGATCAGCTACCTACGACAGTGGGGTGAGTTTTTAATTTCTCAGCTTTCAAAAAAGGATCAGTGGAATCAGACTTTTGAGAACGAGAAGTTCTGAATGCTTTCAAAGTGGTATCCATACTGGAGGTACCACAGGTGAAATGACTCGTTCCTTCAAAACACACTGAATTCTGCCTTTCGTGGACTAGTTCTCCAAAACTGTTGTGGTGCTCAACCCAGCAATGACGTTTCAACAAGTTGTAGCTTCGAGTTAGTGTTTCAGTTGTTGAAATGCCATACACAAGGTCAAGCACGGAATGATAACTTCACAACAAAGAATTGCTGCGCCTATATAGGTAGGCGAGGGGGGGGGGGGGGGGTTGCAACGAATACTGTAGTGAAAAGGGGAATTTCGATTTACGATAGTAAGTAACGTTTTCAACATGAACCATGTCTCATGACTGATTTTTACAACTCCTAAAATACAGGAAGTGTTTTGTGATTTCGTCTGAATTTAGGTATGTTTCCTGTTAGAGGATGGAATTGATGTAATGGCAAGTGGCGCGCTATCGTACACGCGTGAACCTCAATCAATACTTGCCCAGACCAATCAAACCTTCCATCCCTTGAGATGGGTCGATTGGCACCAGAATCGTCTGGTGGGATGAAGAATTTGACTTGTGACTACCACTACCGTAGGACCACATATGACTCCGAAACGCCACCTACGGCCTCAATAGTTTGCTCACTTCCCAAACTTCACCCACAAGCGAGTAAGCCTTTAAGCAAAGTCCTATTTTGAAGCAATGAAAACAGGGTTCCGTGAGTAGAACAACCCCTTTACTAGGACAGAGAACGGGCTTCTTGAGTTCATTCAGCCCCTAAAAATCTCGTCCACCCTAGTGCATTTTCGTTCCACACTTTGCTCCGTTTTGCAGAAAATGCCATAATTTCCCTCACATAGGCGGTGTTATATGGGCGAGACTTTGGCATTTTATAACATCACCCATAGTTGTGTTATCCAGGCGTCGTGCTCTTTCTCCTCAACCCCAGGGAACCCTTTCGCTTCAGTCATGCTTTCTGGGCCAGCCCAGAGACCTCGACCGATGTCTTTTTCATTCTGCTGTTCCAGATTGGATTTAGCTTATATCTCTTAAAATTAGCTTATAGCATCTGGGGTAAAATGAGAACCGTGGAGGACCAAGGGGAGAATATGCTGGAAAACCTCCCTTCACACTTCCAATACAGCGCCATCCAAACATCCTCAGTAGAGCCTATTTCTATCGTTCATATTATAGAAACGCTTGGTGTTCGCTATTATGCTTTTACTGAAAAGAATGAATTGTTAGTAGCATCTCATCTTTCTCAATTCCTGCAACACTGAGATTTAGGAAAGCTTTTTTTTTCAACAAGTTGTTTCTATAAGCTTTTTTCAAACTTCTGTTTGTTTTGCGATTTCTTTGCTATAACGTTGCTTTTGTTGTCAAGTTGTTAAGAAAAACTCGAAAAAAAGCAAGTTTTCTTCAAAAAGTTGCGAGTTGTTAATCAATCCTGGTCTTGGGATGCGTTTGCGTAATCGACTTCCATTCAAAAATGAAATGGCATTTCGAATGGGTAGTGGCCTACCCGATTCCTTGCGGTAACCAACCGATCTATAAGTCAGTACCTTTATTCCTCTACCTCCAGTCCCAAGCCTTGTAAAAATCAATTCAAAAGGATCAACGGTTTTGGTGGCTTGGGATAATATTAGTTCCGAATCTAATCTCTGGACTATCCGTGCGTTAGTGCGCCACATGCCACTACACCACCTCCGCTCGAAAAGTATGATATAACCATTACAACGGCACGCCGATTCGACAAAGTCTACATTCCTTTAAAAGTAACTCTCGAAGGTACAATCTAAAGTACACATTACATTTGGAACAGGTGGCTTTGGACAGTTCCAACCTAGTTGCCCTATGAAGGCAAGCTCGACTGATGGTACCTGCCGCTCAACAAGCTAAAGGGTACTGCGTTATGTTTCGGACAGAGTAGGCTTTCAGACGATATATTCTGATTACCAACTTTAAGGACGTCTTTTTGGTGTTGTGACTGCATAGACGAGCTCTTTGCTGTATTGAGTTCAATACAAAGGGACCAGCCAGTTCACTGCACTTCATTTATTATTTCTTACTATTTTTGAGTATGGTTGTTTGTTCATCTTACTTCAAGTCACTCTTTGAGTTCTGAATATGCATTCTATTCGGCCTAAACATTGAGTTGCCGTGACCATACTACGGAGGTGTTTGGTCCTTCATCCTCAAAGTCGAGTCTGATACCATTCAACCATTTCCAGAGGGATGGAAGGCTTACTTGGTCTGGGCGAGTAACGGTCCGGGAATAGATACCCTGACCATTCACCACCACACCTCATCCGCCCTTCACATCCATCACCTCGCTATTATTGAATTTATTATTGTTACTGATATTATTGCACCTTATTACATGAAGCAACCTTTCCTGTTTGACTTTTTGTCTGTGTAATCAGGTACTGTAATCAGCTATTTGTATCAGCTACCCATTGCTTTATGAAGGTTGTTAGTAGAACAGAACATTGTTTTGATAACTGCATAAAAAACTTTTTTAAGATGACCGTTTGAAGATCATTTCTTTAGCTAGATATTCTCTCGGAAACCGCCCACATAACTAGTTCAGTGAGAAACTCGTTGTAACTGGGTGTGTAGGCGCAGCACGTCGATCTAATCGTTAGCTTCCTTGAAATTCCTTTACTCGCGGTTCCTCATAGAGTTACCGTTTGATTTGGTTTCCTTTTTAAATTGAAATGGTTGCTGGTTCAGACCATTTTCCTTTTAGGGGAAGGTGTAATAGCCAACAACAGTCATTTATAGCCAATTAGGCTGCCTGCTGACTGCAGTCTATTTCTTAGTTTATCACTAAGAATACAAAAAAATACGGGTTCGGATCCCTGCTGAGGCTGATGTTTTGCCGATAGCCGCCGAGACAAAATACTTTGCTTATGCATGCATAAGAAGGTTTTGTAGCATTTGAGCTGGCAATTCAAAGACATCTACAAATCTTCCGATTTTAACTTTTCTTTTGCCCAGTTTAGACTGCACGGGTACGAGTGTTTCTACCGAGAATCCTTCTCATTTCCAGATAACTCGCCCTTTTCCGGAAGCGAGTGCCGGGCTGAGGTTGGTCATTGTGCCGTGGACACAACTGTCTAAGCATCCTTCGATTTCCACCTACCCCTCATCACCTTTGATTCGCTTCTGTTTGGATTCTCTCCCGCTGTCAATTAGCAAGTATGCATTGTCTCCCCGGGGTGCCGTTTCTCTTCGGGAACCGGTTGGTCAGACTGAGCGCCAGAGAGTGCATAAGATGTGGAGTGTGTCGTCTCGCTGATAAGGGGTGTGTTAGAGGACATAAGAGTGAGGAGAGCAGATGCACATGCTTTCTACTCACTCCCGTACCACTCGCACCTACACCCCTCCCATTCCCTCGTTACCTTCAGCTCATTCTCCCGACATGTTTCAAGGTCCCTCATTAACCTAAAACTACCTGGAATGAGACCGAAATTGAGTGACCGATCTACACCTCAACAACGCAGCGGCATTCTCTTATCACTATTGATCGATCGATCGATAATCCACCGTACTCCGATCATGATGATATGCGCACGATGCGATCAGTTCGACCTTGACGTGGGCGTGGCTTTGTGGGCCCGCCCTTTCAGGTGTGTTCATCCGTAATTGGCACACACTCGTCTACTGCTACTGTACTCACACGTAGCGCATCTCAATACCCCCGCTGGGAGCGGACCCGGGGGGTATTGTCAGTCTATTCGAGCTGATCACCGTCACAACTGATCACCCACCACCACTTGCTGTGCACGACTGGCTGATCGCTTCGCTATTGATAAGCGATGATGACCTATGGCGTACGGGGTTCATTCCCGCGCCCTCACGTTAGTCCTACGGCAGTTTCTCCACTGGCCCCTGTACTACTGCCTATTCTGTCGGCTGCCATTACTGTCTATCCGTCTGGTTTGGTTCTTCTCTTTGGTGATTTGGCTTATATGACTGACATGCATCATAAAGCTAGGTTACCAAAGCTAAGCGCCTGACGCCTTTTGCCTATTCTCCTTTTCATTATATCCTTTTCAATTGGCTACTTTCCATGGATTTTACAATCTGAAGGTGCTGTTTTTCTAATTTTTCTTTTCAATACTTTATTTTTTCTACAAATATTAAGTAGATAGGAACCTGCAGTACAGAGATCTTTGATTATTTGGAGCGATCTATTTATTTTACTGTGAATCTCTCCGACACTGCTACTGCCCTATAGGGCCGGGTATTTACGACACTCGGGCAGAATTTTTATTGCAAACCACCGAATAGTTGTTGTTCAGATGCGGCTAAGTGCCCTGTCCAGATCAGCGACGAGATCTTCAGCGTTTTCGATTCCAACACTGAAACATCGAGAATCTTCTTTCACTTTTTACGTTTTCCTGATCGATTTTGCCATGCGGCATTTGAGAAGAGACACGGGCGCTGGCACGTTGTTTTGTTTGTGATAATTCGCTTTGTGTGTTTATCAGTAGGACGAGGGGTGTGCTGTGTGCTACGTACACACATACACCAGCCCCTGATCGCTTTAGACACCACATAGTTTGTGATCGAGTAGAACTCAAACACGGTCCCCCCTTTACCCATTTACCTGAGTCGAAGCAAACCCGGAGGGACCATTGGTTCTTTGACTTCACGTAGGAGCTGGCTACTATGTGACATCGACAGGGCGTGTTCCATGAGTGATTCCGTTCCTCCCAATGACACTGCATGGATAATTAGTCGAACTGACTAAAAGTGCTGAAATCAGCATAAGGGGGGGGGGG